GAGTTTAAAAAAAAAAAAAGCCCATAATGGTCTCTATCTAATGGGGAAGATTAAATAAGGTAATCCACATAATCCCCTTACAAAGAGACACAAGGTAGATACTCAAGAAATGTGTTTTGTATTAACAAATGGAATTGACATCAGGTATGTAAAATGCTCAGCACAGGAAAAGAGTTCATAATAATCACCGTTTGGTTATTTTATCATTTCCTGTGTCTGTCCCATGTACCTGGGCCTCAGTTTTCTCATCTGCAAAATGGGAGGACTGGACTCCCTCTTTAAGGACCTTTTCTTGTCCTAAGCTCTGTATGTTGTTCTAGAAATGTTTCTCTCTGGAGGTAGCAGGTCCTTAAGGATGAGTAAGCATGTGGGATGGGAGACAGTGGTGGGCAAGCCCATAGGGTGGGGGGATGATACCTTGGGGCTTGGAGACCAGGATGTGTGTAGGGAAAGAGCTTGAAAGGTTGATGGTGTGGCTGGGAGCAGATCATGAGGGTTATATTGACCTGGTTAAGGGTTCAGGGCATGGAGGTGGTCCAGCTTGGGCTCAAATCCCACATCCGCCATTTCCCAGCTATGAGATCTGGGACAAGGGATTTCCTCTCTGAGTGCTATTTCTACCTCTGGAAAATGGTGAGGATGTTTGCTAGTTACCAGTGGGGTGGTGTGGATTCCCTGAGCTCATATCTATACCAGCCTGCGAGAATAACAATAACAAGGCAACAATAGCGATAACTGCCTCCCAGGGGCCAAACGCTGTCCTCTGTCCTCTCCACAGAGTAACTCATTTAATATGAAGGGCTCAATTTATAGAGCCCTCAGTTTAAGGGCTCAGTTTACTGATTACTGAAGTAGGACAAATGACCTCTTAGATTGAATCCTCAGTTTGCCCTTCTATAAATGGGGCTATTTAATCCCCTCCCTGAACAGGTTTTGTCCACAAGATTGTGCTGAAAGGGTGTCTGGCTATGGTAGGTGATCACTAAATGGTGGCCCACATTTGGATGTGGCAAAAGGAAGCCACTGAAGGTTCCTGGGGAGGGAGATGGCTTTGATGTAATGAAAGCATACCCCAGTCCCCCATCTCTGCAATACCGGATGCTAAGTTAGTTACAGCTTCTCATAAGATCTAGTTCTTTGGAGACCTGGTCTCATTTGGAAACCTTAACTTCTTCGTGCCAACATTTCATTATTGTCCTTCTCCTCCACTGCTCCGGAGGACAGGCGCCCAGCTGGTTTATCACTCTGTCTCCAACATCTAGCCCTGGGCAAGTGGTAGGGAGCACAGTGATAATCACACGGGATAACACGTACTGAGTGCTTACTACGTGCCCGGCACCCATTCCAAGGGCTCAGCCAAGATGTGTTAAATCTTGGACAGAGGGGATTCTGCGAAGCTCTGCGTGATCACCTTCCCTCTCTGACTCTCAACAACCATCTTCCCAGCTCCCCCTCACCCGCCTGGTGTTTTGTGACACCAGGAGAAACACCTTCCATCCTGGAGTGTCGTTTTGTTGCCCTGGAAATCAGGGATGATCTCACCCCTCTCTTTCCTGGCCTTCCAGGTGTGAAGACAACACCTAGTGGTCAATGTCACTTTTTGCACAGGGCAAGAGAGAGCCATTGAATGTGCTGGGGGGCAGGTAGGATGTCCATAGAAGGAATGAGAAGAGGTTTAAGGAACATTGGCTTGGATAAAACCTTCTCCCCTTCACTCCTAGGACCTGAACAAATGGGTAAACAACAAACAAACAAAAAACCAGAGGATTTGTAAAAAATGACCCTTCCCACCCGTGATTCCTTGCTGTTTCTCAAACATAACAGTGTCCACCCACCTCACGGCCTTTGCCCCAGCTGTTCCCTCATCTGGTTCTTCATTCAGGTCAAATGTCACCTCACCAGAGGCCCAGCGCTCCCAGTCATGCTCTGTCATCACAGCCCCCTGTAGTTTTCTCAGGAGCCCTTACCAAGACCTGATGTTATACTGCAGATTTTTTTATTATCTAGGGTGGTGTTGCCCAGTAGACCTTCCTGAGATTAGGAAATGTTCTAGATCTGTGCTGTCCAATAGGGGAGCTACCAGCCACAGGGGCCTATTGGGCATGTGAAATAGTGTGACTGATGAACTGAACTTTTAATCTTATTCAATTTTAACTACTTTATTTTAAACTTATTTACTTATTATAAATTTAGATGGAAATAGCTAGGTGTGGCTGGTGGCTAAACAGCCTTGGACAGAGCAGAGCTAAAATTTCAGCTCCTCTTAGCAGGGCAGTGACTTTCTCCTCAGCATTCTCAGGGTCCAGCACTCTGCCTGGTAAATGTTTGCTGAATGAATGCACATGCAGGATTCCATTGGGGAGCATGGGCTCCCCAAAGTTGGCCAGGCAGATGGTAACCTGTCTTTTCCCACTCCTGTTTCTTCTCATGAGCGTCTTGCTTGCCAAACTCTGTATCCTTCCCGCTTCGAACCCAAGCTCAGAGTCTGTTGGACAAAGCCGGGCTCACCCAGACCCCCACACCAGCCCCCACCTCCACAGATAGCCTCACTCTCTCCAGCTTCACGAACTCACATTTATTCACAGACAGACAAAGGGACAGGGACGGACCTTTGCTCACTGGGACCCCAAGGGTCTGGCAGTTCCAAAGAGGCGATGGTGTCCAGTGTGTACAAAGGAGGCAGCCGGTAGGAGGCACCCCAGTCTCCATCCTTCTGGCCAGTGTCCTGCGCCTCCTTTTCCAAGCGGTCCTGCCTTGGGAAGTACCGGGTGAGCAGTTCATAACCAGCATCTGGGGCTTGGGGGTGGGCGATGGGGAGGGAGGGGCAGTCCCGGCCCCACCTCCTTAGTGTCAGGGCTGGGAAGGGCGGGATGGGTAGATGGAAGAGGGGCCTCCCCTTCAACTTCTCTCCTCTATATTGCAAACCAGGGTGGGGAGGGCAACTGGAGGGGCCGAGGGTGGGTATGAGGGTCAGGAGGCCAGGCTGCCGAATCCGCGCAGGTGTGCCTTGCTGTCAATCTCGTCTTCCTCCATCTCGAAGGCTGAATGGTCTTGGCTGTCGAAGCAGGAGGCGCTGAGGAAGACAGGGGGAGCCACCGGCGACTGGGGTGGGGTCCCCGGGGAGGGTGGCTCTTCCTTGATGTGTGCGATGGGCAGGGGCAGCCCTTCGTCCTCCTGCCCGGCCGGCGGGGGCGGTGGGGGCGGCGGGGGCGACGGCGGGGCCTGGGCCTGGGCCTGGGCCTGGAGAGCCTGCAGCGCAGCCGCCCGCTCCAGCTCGGCGCGGTGGCAGCGTTGGTGGCGCAGGAGGCTGTAGGCGCGAGAGAAGCGGCGCGGGCAGTGTGGGCACGGGTGCGGGGCGGGGCCCCCAGCGTGGACCTGCGCGTGGCGAGCCAGGTCGGCCAACCTCTTGAACTCGCGCTGGCAGCGTACGCACTGGAAGGGGCGCGCCCCCGAGTGGGTCACCCCATGCTGCCGCAGGTGCGCCCTGCGCCGGAAACCTTTGCCGCACTCGGGGCACCAGAAACGCGGCTCCCCGGCGGGGGGCCGGGCCGGGGCCTCATCGCCCCCGTTCTGCCCGCCTTCTCCCCCCTCTGGGGCAGCCCCGCACTCAGCCCCTTCACCCCCCTCGGGCCCCTTCCCTGAGTTCCGTCCACCCGAGGATTTGTCGTCCTTCTTGCCCGCCGTGGGCAGCGGGGCCAGCAGGCTGAGCGCGCCGTGCACGCGGCGATGCTGGCGGAGGTAGGAGGCGAGTCGGAAGGCCAGGCCGCAGTCCGGGCACACGAAGGGGCGGTCAGTGGAGTGGACCAGCCGGTGGCGGGACAGAGACCAGGGCCTGGCGAAGGCCTTGAGGCAGATGGAGCACTGGTGGCGCTTGGGGCGGGGTGGGGGGCCCCCTTCGCCCTCCTGCTCGCCCTCCGGGCGCAGGCACGGGTGCGCTTTGAGCTCGCCCTTGGTGGCGAAGGCTTCGCGGCAGCGGAGGCACAGCAGCGTCCAGTCGGCCTGGAGCAGGACCTGCTTCTCCTCCTGCCGCCCAGCCGCCAGCGCCAACTCGGCCCTCAGCTCCGCCGCCCCAGCCTCAGCCTCCTCCTCTTCCGACTCCCGGTCCCGGGACTCAGCACTCGTGGGGGCCACCAGCGCAGCCGGCTCCCCTGCAGGCCACGTTTCGGGCCACGCTGCTTCCTCCGGGGCGCCCGCGGCTGTGCTGGGCTGCTCCGGGCCCTCATCCTGCGGGCCCCAGTTGGACTCCGCTGCCTCCTTGGCTGCTTTCTCGATGGCTAGCTCGACCTCGCCTCCTGCGTGCTCCTGGGCCAGGTGGCGCCGCAGCTGGGCAGGCTCCGGGAAGGTGCGGGGGCAGGCGGCGCAGCGCAGCGGGGGCTGGGGCCCGTGGCCACGCAGATGGCGGGAGAGGTGGGCAGGCCGGCGGAAGGCCTTGGGGCACAGCGGGCAGGCGTGGGGTCGGAGGCCCGAATGGCTCAGCCAGTGCCGGGAGAGGTAGTAGGGGAAACGGAAGAGGCGGCCACAGGTGGGGCAGGGCAAAGGCGCCCGAGGGGCTCCAGCGCCCCCCCTGCCCCGGCCTCGACCTCGGCCTCGTCCACGGCCCCGGCCCCGGCCCCGGCCACGGCCACGGTGAGGTGGGCTGCCCTGGGCGGGTGGAGGGGGCTGAGGATCCATGCCTGTGAGGAGAGAGGGGAGAGACAGGGAGGTGGAGGTGCAGAGGGTCAGATGTTTAAGCCAGAGAAAGGGTGAGAGAGACAGAGATGTGACAGAGGCAGAGATGCGAGAGAGACCAGGAGAAACAGAGACAGGATGGTGAGCCACAGAGAGACAGGGACACCCAGCAGAGGCAGAGATGAAGAGAAAACAAAGAGAATTAAACAGAGACGGTGCAAACAGAGAGGTCAGCAGAACCGTGGTAGGATGGAGGTGGGGACAGACATGAAGACGGAGAGACACACAAGAGACCAAGTCAGTGACCGCTGTTTTTCCAGGGGCCCCGCTTTTGGGAGGGGCTGGGAACAAGCCAGCCTTCGGTGCCGGAGGGGGACGGGTGCAGGTCAGAAAACGGAGGCCGAGGAAATGGGGTGTGGGTGCCCAGACGCTGGGAGAGGCCGGGAGTAGGAGCAGAGCCCCAGACTCTTGGGTATGAGCCGGGAGGGGGCTGGAGGCCCGGACGCCTGAGATTCAGGGAGGTGGGGGCTGGGGGTTGGGCCCGATGAAGGATCTAGACCCCTGTATGCGCAGGGTACGGGTTTTGGGGTCCCAGTGGTGAGGAGGGCTGGAGGAGGGGGCTGGGCTCCTCAGACAAGGGAGAGGAGGGGGCGGGGGGCCCAGTTGTCTGAATTCTCCAGGGAGGAGGAGACTGAGGGCCAGGCCCCTGGGGCCGTTGCTGGGGGTCCCTAGGTCCCCCAGGGGGCGGATCTCCCCGCTGGGCCCAGCCTGCCGGTCTCGCAGACATGATCTGCAGAATTGGGGCCTCAGTGGAGGCCTTACAGATTCCTGAGCTGGGGGCCTGGACTTGGCCCCGATCTCTGAGCGCCCGGTGCTTACCTCGGCCTCCTCTGTGCCTTTCTTCCTTCCCCGCGGCCGGCCGACAGACGGTGGTGGCGGGGAGGGAGGGAGGGCCCTAAGCGTGGTAGGGGTGGGGGGTGGAGGAGGCTGGGCTCGGTGTCACCGCCTAAGCCTTCCCCCCGGAAACCCGCCTTTTCTCCCAGTCTGAGAGAGGAAAGATTGGCTGCAAAGCCGGAAGCTAGAGGATGAGGGTACTCAGTGGGCGGGGAGGGAGCGTGCCTGGGACTCCTGGGTCCTCTAACTGGGAGGGGTCTGGGGACCTGTCCTCTGGGCTCCCAGAGAGAGGTCTGCGAGGCTGGGTCCAGCTCCCCTCCCCTCGAAACAGACACATATATTCATTCATTTCTTCAACAAACACACATTTATCAGGTCCTGTCTATGCCAGGCACTGTGTTGAGGGAGTGGGGGTGGCTGGGGAGGATATGAATGAAGCAATGGCAGAGGCTTCAGGGAAAGCACCGGCACTCTGGACTGGAACCTGACTCCAGCCATTACTTGGCTGCCTGAACAAGCTACTCTCTCTTCTCTTCCGCCCTGTGATAAGCCTGCATATCTTCATTCAATCCTAAACAAAGTGTTCACTAAGCACCTACTATAGGACAGTTTTGCATGTATTTTGCTACATATATTCACTTGATCCTAAGCCACCAACATTTACTGAGCTCCTACTATGGGCTGGATCTGTCCTTGGTGCTGGAGCTATACATAGTGGCAAAGACAGAGGCCGTTGGGCCCTATCTGCAGGGAGCTCACGGTCTGATACAGGAGCAGGCGGACTCAGGTCCAATCACCCTCCTGGAGAGTGTGTCCTAATTCAGGAAACATCATGCTGTGGGAATACAAAGGACAGAGAAGGCACTGAGCTGAGCTCACACTTGGAGCAAGAGTGATCCCTGAGGGCTTCCTGGAGGTAACCATGTTTCAGCTGAAACCTGCAGGATGAAAGCTGAGGGTTAGGAATGGGAAGGAGGAGCAAAAGGAAACAGGAGAGAAAAATACCAATACAGCCACACCTCAAATACCTAACATTGAGCAGAAAAGGCATGTTTCAGGAGTACACCTCTAGCTTAACGCTGTTTGCTCAAGGTGAAATATGCGCTCAGCATGGTTGGCAAGAATGTGGGAAGCAGGACCTTTCATACGGGGCTGAGGCAAGTAAAACTTGGGATAGTTTTAACGATCGAGCATTTCCAGGAATGTATCCGTCACATAGGTCTACTCAGAAACATGCAAAAGGATGCCTGTACCAGGCTTTTTTTTTTAAAGATATTATTGGGGAATTGGGGGAGGGGAACAGCGCTGGAGAATCAGGGGAAGGGGAACAGACAAGTTGCTGTCCTTTTGTTGTTCAGTCTAGTTGTGGAGGACGTTGCTTCACTGGCCCACGTTGGTATTATCATTGCGCTCTTCCCGGGTGAGGCAGATCAGTCGCCAGCCTCTGGATGGCCGCTCACGGGGGCTCTTGGCAGCTCACACCGGTTGCCAGCCGCTCACGTTGGCAGCCAGCCACACACAGTAGCTTATGGCAGCCCACTGCAGCAGTGGCTGCAGCCTACGCCATCACCGGCGACTCGCGGCAGCCCAGCTCCAGGTCGAGCTGTTGTTCACCATCTTAGCTGTAGAAGGCAGTGTCACTGGACCCCCTGTGAGATCCAAACCGGGGCCCTGCTGCTCAGAGCTGGTGTCCCAAGCCAGCTCTTAACCAATGTGCCACTTGGCCGGCCCTGTACCAGGTTTTAATCCGTGCAGTATTGCACATTGCTACAAAAGGCTGGAAATAAGCTAAACGTCCATGGGTTGGGATTTGAGAAATAAATCATGATTGGTCCATCCAGTGGAATGTTATGTGTCCATTAAAAATGGATGAAGAAGCTCTCCGTGGAAAAATATGGAAAGACTCCAAGTGATAACGTGAAGGAGAGGGGAAACGGGAGGTGAAGAGCAGCTTATAGCCTGTTCTCTCTGTGCTGATCAGAGCCTTGTGGCTGGAAGACCTGGAAGAAGACAGAGGAAACTAGCAACATTGTCCAACTCCCAGGACTGAAACTTACTACACCCTATCCTTTTTGTATTTTTGAACTTGAAACCATGTGAATGTGTCCCAGACTCAAACAAGTAAAGGAAATAGACACTGGGGATGATCAAAATAAATAAAATGAAAGTAGGTAGCAGTTTACTCTTGTAAGTGCTTTACAAATACAAGCCCATTTATTTCTCCTCACCTTATGAAGTGGGTAGCATGACTGTCCCAGTTTTGAGAGCAGTACTAAATGGTACTTCAAAGCTGGTGAGTCTCAATAGGTCTTTGCGTTTCCCAAAGAGGCAGGAGAAATTATAGAGGCCAGGAGCATAATCCTTAAAAGCATCTGGTCAATAATACTATTTTAACAAGGATATATGCATATGGAATAAAAGTCCAAACACATTCATGAAAACAATAAGCACCAAATGTGGGGCAGGGGTTACTCATGAGAAATGAGAAGCAATCAGATCCTGGACAGTGCTGTGTAGAGTGAGGCGTTATCTCTAATGTTTTAAAGCTGGGAGTCAGTATATGGGTGTGGGTGTACTTTTTCATTGGGTAAAATACATGAAAGATAAGACTTACCATTTTAAAGTGTAAAATTCAGTGGCATTCAGTATATTCATGATGTTGTGTAACTACCCCCACTATCTAGTTCCAGAACATTTTCATCACCCAAAAAGCAGTTACCCCGCCCCCATTCCCTTCTTCTCCCCGCCCCTAGCAACCAATAATCAGCTTTTTCCTCTACGTGTTCGCCTACTGTGGATATTTCGTCAGTGGAGTTAGAGGATATATGGTCTTTTACAACTGGCTTCTTTCAATTAGCATAATGTTTTCGAGATTCATCCATGTTGTAGCATGTGTCCATGCTTCAGTCCTGTTTGTGGTTGAATAATTTTCCATTACGTGGGCATACTACATTTTGTTTATCTATTCATTGACTGGTGGACAGTTGGGTTGTTGCTACCTTTTGGCCATTGTAAATAGTGTTATTGTGAACACTTGTACTTTTTCTTTGAATGGCTGTTTTCAATTCTTTTAAGTATTTGAGGTCAGACAATTAAGTTCGCGAACTCATCCTAGAAAACGTGCTACATACCTCATTACTGAATATCACTACAGTCACCTTCAAAGTACTCCCCTTGGGGAGCTATACACCAATGCCAGCGCCTAGTCCACCCTTCAAAGCAATTTTGGAACTCTTTTTCTGGAATGGCCATCAGAGCTGTCGTTGTATTACCCTTGATGTCCTAACAAAATGTCCTCCTTTCAATATTTCCTTTATCTTCGGGTAAAGAAATAAGTCATTGGGGGCCATACCAGGTGAGTAGGGCGGGTATTCCAATACAGTTATTTGATTACTGGCTAAAAACTCCTTCACAGACAGTGCCATGTGAGCTGGTGCATTGTCATGATGCAAGAGCCATGAATTGTTGGCAAAAAGTTCAGGTCGTCTAACTTTTCCACGCAGCCTTTTCAGCACTTCCGAATAGTAAACTTGGTTAACTGTTTGTCCAGTCAGTACAAATTCATAATGAATAATCCCTCTGATATCAAAAAAGGCTAGCAACATTATTCCAATAAGTTCGTGAACTTAATTGTCAGAACGCGTAGCTTTAGGTTGTGTATGTTATTTTATTATTCAAATTTTAAAAGTTTATTATTATTTTTAAATGAATTGAGGAATGGAGGTGTTATGAAAGAAAATTTCAAGTAGAGAAAACAGCATGTTGTGTGTGAGGGGTGGGTGGGGGAGGGTTGTGTCTTGGGGGAGATTGGGGCCGTGGATTGGGGCATCAAAAGCAGCCAGTGTAGTGGAGAGACGCCAGAGCTGCGTGAGCGACTGTGTCCTGCCTCCTGGTCCAGGCTGAATGTTGGATGCATTCCGAGTCCACTGAGAACCCATTGAAAATGTTTTAAGCTGGAGAGTCACATGATCTGATTAGTGTTCTAGAGAAATTCCTGTGGGACCCGTGTGGAGGCCCAGCCGGATGCAGGAGAGACCAAGGCGGGAGCAGGGAGGAGGTGGGGCATGGGTCCAGGTGAGAGAAAGGCCTGGGTGGGGCCGGCCTGGACTAAGCAGGGGGCGGGACCTGGCGCTGATTGGCTCAGACCTGCATTCCTGGATGCCAGTCCCACCCCAACCACCTCTTCATTGGCTCTTTTGCTTTCCATCCAGTCTCCAGCACCCACAGCTCACATAATATAACTCTTGCCTGGACACCCTCCCATGGCTCCCACTCTTCCTCCCCACTTCCTCGGCTCCTGCCTACAAGGCTCTACACGTCTGGCCCCCCAGGGCCTCTCTGAAAAGATTCCTCTCTCCCTGCAATTCACCTTGCCCCCAACCACACCACCCTCTTTACTCTTTTTGGACTGAGGTCCTTTGCACATGCGGTTCCCCCGCCTGGAATGCCCTTCCTCTAGATTTCCATGAAGTTTCCCTACTCCCCTCAATTCTTTCACATCTCAGAGACCTGTCCTGCCCACCCTGGCAAAAATAGCCCTCCTGTCACCCTCTAGTCCTTACTCTGCCTTAATTTTCAACATTGTACTTATCGCCAACAAGCATTAGGCTACTTGTCGCCTACCCACTGATTACCTATCTCACCTCCCAATGGAATATAAACAAACTCCCTGAGGGCGGAGTTTTATTGTGCCTGTTTAAGTGCGCGCGACCCTCAGAGAATATTCAGGTGGAGGCGCTCAGCTTTCCGAGGTCCCTATTCATGACTCCGTAGAGGACAGCCGGAAGCCATCCCCATGACAGTTCTGTCACTTTTCCATGTTCTCTACTCTCCAGGCAAAGAGGGTCTCAAAGTGGGCGGTCTTGTCCCTGGGGCGGTGCTTGTATCTAAGGGAAGGATGGGTCTTGTTTCTCTGAGGCAGATGGGTTTTTTGTTTGTTTGTTTTAACGCCAAAGAGATGAGTCTGGTTCCTGATTCCTGGGTGTTGGTGGCAGAGTGAAGAGGAATATCTCTAAGATTGAGTGTCCCTAGGGGGTTGAGTCTTTTCAAAAGCGCAATTGCGGGTCTCCAGGCCAAAAAGTCTTCCTTGAAGGCCAGCCTCGTACTTGTTTTCTCTCCCCCCAGATATATGTCACCTCCTTTAAATTTTTTCCTTGTGTAATATGAGATGCACCGTTTAAAAGGGCACCATACAAATGCACAATTTAACAAATAATTATAAAATGATCACCAGGTTAAGAAAAGAGATGTTGGCAGTCACCCCAACAGAAGAGTCCGGCGTGTCCCATCCCCAGCTTAACATGTCTGACCTCACTGTGCTGAGTTTAATGGGGGGAGGGGAGTTTTCCTTGCTTTCCTGAATGGTTCAGTACCCACGATACATCCTAAACAACATTACAGTTTAGTTTTGCGTGCTTTTTTAGCAATAGAAATAGTCATACTCTGTGCACCTGGCTTCTTTGTGAGTTCCATTAATGTAATTCTGTATATCGTACTCATTTATTCTTGTTGCTGTATAGTATTCCATAGCATAATATACCACCATTTATTTCTCCACTGTATTGTTGATGGATGTCTTAGTTCACTCTGGCGGCTGTAACAAAATACCACCAACTGGGTGGCTTATATACAACAGAAATGTATGGCTCACAGTTCTGAAGGCTAGAAGTCTAAGATCAAGGTGCCAGTGCGGTCACCTTCTAGTGAGGGCCCCTTCCTGGTTCATGGCTGGCATCTTCTTGCTGTGTCCTCACATGGAAGAAAGGAGAGGTATCTCTCTGAAACCTCTTCTATGAGGGCACTGATCCCACTCACGAAGGCTCCACCCTCATGATTTAAGCATCTCCCAAAGGTGTCTAATCCCACTAGGTGTTAAGATTTCAACATATGAATTTTGGGGGGACACTAACATTTCAGAGCATAGTAAATGGGCGTTTCAGTTGTTCTGAGCTCAGGGCTGTACATTTCGCTCCTGTGAATGTTTTCAGATGTGTCCCCTGGTGCAGCAGAGCACAAGTTTCTCTAGGGCTCGTGCCTAGCAGTGGGATCACTGCATCATAGGCCATGCACACCTTCAGCTTTAGTAGAGCATGCCAACCTCGTAGGCATCTTAAATTTGAGAAGTTCAGGATGGAACTCTTTTTTTTTTTTTAAGATTTTATTGGGGAATTAGGGGAGGGGAACAGCGTTGGGGAATTGGGGAAGGCGAGCAGACAAGTTGCTGTCTTTTTGTTCTTCAATCTAGTTGTGGAGGACATCGCTTCACTGGCCCATGTTGGTATTATCATTGCGCTCTTCCCTGGTGAGGCAGTCGCTCGCAGGCTATTGGATGGCCGCTCACAGCGGCTCCAGCGGCTCACAAAAGCTCACACCCGCTGCCAGCCAGCACCACTGCAGCCTACACCATCACCGTGGACTCTCAGCAGCCCAGCTCCAGATTGCGCTGTTGTTCACCATCTTAGCTGTAGAGGGCACAGCGTCACTGGCCCTCATATGTGGGATCTGAACCGGGGCCCTGATGCTCAGAGCTGGCATCCCAAGCCAAATCCTAACCAACGTGCCACTCGGCTGGCCCCAGGATGGAACTCTTGATCCCTGTTGTCCCTACCCAAAGTTGTTCGCCTCTAGTTTTCTGGTTTTAATACCAGTGCCACCACCTAACCAGTCCCTCCTGCTTCCTCCCTTTCCATTACATACACACACACACACACACACACACACACACACACACACACACACACAGATACATTCTGCCTCCAGGATTCATTTTGATTCCATCCACTTCTCTCCATCGCTCTGGTCCAGGCCCCCACACCTCTCCTGGTGGACTGCTTTCACTCTACCTCTCCAGCTCCTCCTCCACTCAGCAGCCAGAGGGCTCCTCGTGCAGCATTAAGAGTGGTTACATCCCTTCACACTTTTAAGATCTTGCTTGCCATGGCCCAGGAAGCACATTCAAATGCCTATCTTGGTCCACCAGGCTCTGTGTGACCTGACTCCAGCTTACCTCTCCACCTCGTCTCATCCCTCCCTCCTCTGGGCTCACTCCCTCCTAGGACCATCCAGACATCCTCCTGGCCACTCCTCCTCACCCTTCCTGGCTCAGATCAGAGGGCCACCTCTGCAGAGAAGCCTGCCCTGATAACCCCATCTAAGGTGGCATAGCTCAGTCACTCACTTTCTTAACACCCTCCTTCATTTCCTCCAGAGTGCTCATAACCCTCTGAAATTGCCTTCTTTGTTTCTTTTTTACTCTTTTCTACACCCTGTCAGCCACGCACTACACTATTGACTCCACCAGGAGTTATCTTGTTCACTGTTGGGTCCTCAGAGGGGGTTACAATGCCTGGCACAGAATGGGCACTCAGCATAGGAAAGTAATCTGGCACCTAGGAGACAATCTAAAGGCCCGTCCATTCTCTGATGGGGGTTGGAGGTAGCTTCTAATGTACAAATTCAGTTGCCTAGGAGGCAAAGTCTAAGCGGTTAGGAACTTGTCTGTAAAGTGACAGTGTGTTTTTAAGGGGAGTGTGTCCTATGGGATTGATGCTTCACAAGGGCCTGTGTGGTTCTAGGGGGGCATGTCAGCCCATGGAAGTGAGTCTTGTGTTTAAGGAGCCGGGTTTCAATTTAGGTAAGACTTAAACCATCTCTGATTTTAAGGGCCATGCAAAGGATGAAGGCTCTGTCTCTATTTAGGGGGCCTTCCTAAGTCAGGGAGGGAGAAACCCCCCACCCCCTGTACCAAGGATCAGAAAATGAGACAGCAGTGACTGACAGGGCAAGGTTTATTGGGGTGGTCCTGGAGACACTGGGAAGTGTGACAAGGGGGGTGAGGTCAAGGCTCACAGGGGGGACCCCCTAGCCAACCCTCCCTTCCCCTTTGGGTTGGGAGGAACAGAGACAAACTGACAGATGGAGAGAAAGACCAACAGGTGCTACAGCAGAGCGGGAGGGCTACCCAGTGTCCACCACCTCCCACTCAGGTGAGTTCACAGGACGGGGAATGACAGTGGAAGAGGAAGGGGAGTGTCTTCTCTATTCACTCTAAGGAGGGTGGGGTGCAGGCCACGACTTGGGCCAGCCCATTCCAGTGGACAGGGGTGTGTGTATCCAATCAGTCCATCCTACTGGGCAGGGGGATTCCAAACCAGCCTAATCTAGCGTTTGGGGGTAGGGGGTGGGGTCATTAGGGTTAGTCCATTCCACAGTAGGGAAGGGAAACCTAACTGGGGAGTGGGTTGAGGGCAGAGGGCATCTACCCTGGTCCTCTTTCGGCATAGGGAATGAAGTGGCAGGAAAGGCAGACTCCGGCTATAGCCATTATCTGGGGGCACCAGTGACTGTGGTGGGTAGTGATTGGAGGGGATCCAGGGACATTTGAGGACACGGTCCCCCCACATTCTCCATATCCAGATCGTTTGGAATGATGGCTCTCAGAGAGAGGGCAGGTTTCCCTTGGGGGAGGTATGCCCATCTCTTATTAGGGCCCTCAAGATGAGAAGAACTTCTGGAGACCCATTTCTCATTCCTAAGTCCCCCAACTTAGGGGCATTGATTTTGGGGTGCCTAGCACAGGTTCCAGGGGATCCTCAAGCTCAGGAGTCTCTCCATAGACCCGGGACCCCCGAGCTGAGGAGTTTTCGGTTTATTTGCTGTCCATCAGCTCAGGGGGCTGTGTGGGTTTCTAGTGGCCCCATCTCTCCAACCGGGGTCCCCTCATCTCGGCGTGTCTGGATTTGGACCGTCCCCTGGGCCGGGCCCTGAGTCCAGCCCCAGGCTAGGTGGTTGCACGGAGGGGCACGGGTCAATCCATGCCCCGGTGCAGCTTCAGGTGCCTGGAGAGGTTGCTGAGCGTGATGAAGCCCTTGCCACATATGTGGCAGGGGAAGGGCCGCTCGGTGCCGTGCAGCAGCCGGTGGCGCTTGAGGTAGCACTCGTGGCGGAAGAACTTGCCGCACTCGAGGCACGGGAACGGCTTCTCACCCGTGTGCACCAGCACGTGCCGCTCCAGGTCGCGTGGCGAGCGGAACAGCTTCTCGCACTCTGAGCAGCCGAAGATCTTCTTGCCGCGGCCCGAGCCGGACGCGGGCTCCCCCGACGCGGGCTCCCCCTCGGGGGCTGCTGTGGCCGCCTCTGCCCCGCCGCCCTCGCCATGGCTAGCGCGCCGGTGCTCCTCCAGGGCCCCCAGGGCCGCGTACAGCGCCCCGCAGTGGCCGCAGCCGTAGGTGGCCGGCCCCGAGTGCGCCTCCAGGTGGCTGGCCAGGGCCGCAGCCGATGCGAAGAAGGTCCCGCAGTCGCACTGGTACAGGGTGTCTTCCGATGGCTCCGCCGCAGTCGCTGGCGCAGGGGCCTCCCCGCCGCCCTCAGGGAGCAGCCGCCCCAACTCGGGCACGCCGCCCCCGGCGCGGCCCAGGAGCAGCCGGCCGTCCCAGGCCGCTCCAGCGTCACCTGCCTCCACAGCGCCACCCTCGCCAGGGGTCTCGGGCCCAGCGGCGGCCCCCGCAGCCCAGGCCTGTGCAGGGGGCGCGCCTGGGCCCTGCAGGTCATGCGTCAGCTTGTGCCGCTCCAGCAGCGCGGGAGCGTTGAAGTCGCGCTCACAGCGTGGGCACTTGAAGGGCTTCACGTCGGTGTGTGCGGCCCAATGGGCAGCCAGCTCACGGCCATGGTCGAAGCGCCGTGCGCAGGCACCGCACGCAAACGGGGGCAGCGAGGCGGCTGCTGCAGCTGCAGCCTCCGCCAGCCCCCAGCTGCCCGGGCCCGCGCCCGCCCCGTCCGGACCCTCTCCGCCGCTGCCGGTCCCCGTGCCCCCGCACACAGAGCAGGGCCCCACGTTGCAGCAGACAGAGCAGGGTGCACTCAGGGCGGGCAGGCCGGGGCTGGGTTGCAGGGGAGAAGGGAGCACCCCGCGGTGCTGGCGCTTGAGGTGGCGACCCAGGCTGGAGCGTGAGGAGAAGCGGAGCTCGCAGACCAGGCAGCAGTAGGGCTTCTCACCAGTGTGGACAACCTGGAGGGTGGGAGGAAGAGCAGCACATCAGGGTTGAGGATCTGGCCTGCAAGGCAGGTTTCTGGACTCAAAGAGGGAGGCATCTCAAGATCCATGTGAAGCCTACAAGACCATGATCTAGCTTCAGTCCTCTTACTCTCCATCTCTGCTTTTTGGCCACAGCTGGCATGCTTTTAGGCGCTCTAGCCTCAGGACCTTTGCACACGCTATTCCCGCAGGCTGGGCAACTCTCCCACTCTTTTTGTCTCTTATTTCCAACAACCCCGCCTAGAAAACTGGCACTCCCTAGGAGAGTGGTTAAACATTGAAGCTTTGAGCACTGATAGACCTGGGTTCAAATCCGAGCTCTGCCTTCCACGCCAAGTGAAAACTTGGACAGGTAATGGCATTTCTGGGGCTCTGCTTTTCTGCTCTGCCAAATGGGCACAATAAGATGTACCATCTCATAGCATTGTTGTGAGGATAGGGTAAAATCATCACAAAACTACTCAATTCCTGGAAACTAGAATTATTGACAAACTTTCTCACGTCCAACTGATGTTCTCTAAACCAGTGAATATTGGGGAGAGCAGGAGAGCTTTTATAATCACCTGAAGTGGGAAGTGGCTCTTCTAGGTAAATGCTCTAGAACCTTCTAGAGCAGAAATGCCCAATAGAACTTTCTGCAAGTGATGGAAATGTTCTATATCTGTATTGTCCAAAATGTCACCACTAGCCACATATGGCTGTTGAGCCCTTGAAATGTCGCTAGGTGGCCAAGCAAGACCGTGCCTTACAGAGGTCTCTACTGATATTCGCCTTTGTGGTTTATTTAAGGGTCCTGGACTAGTCGACAGGTTTCAACTGTAGAGTCCTATTGACTGGTAGCGTCTGCCTGGAGAGCTTTGGGGGAGAACTGTGAGGCTAGATGAGAAAGAGCGCAGTGCTAGATTAGTCATGTCTTCCATGGGCAGGATCTGAAGTAGGAATGCTATCTCAGGAACACCATCCATGACCCCATCCCTGACCTGGATCACTCCAGATCTTTCTTCTATTAGCCTCAGAATACAGTTACCCTCTGTCCTCACATGTCTCAATTGCAGTTTGACATTAATCTCATTGTTCAGCTAATGTCTCCCCCACTAGACTCTTGGCTCTGGGAGGCCATGAAAGGGGAGGACTGTGTCTGTGCCTGCATATTATAGGTACTCATTAAATGCTCAGCTGAATGATAACTTACCAGTGGGCAGGGGTGAGACCTCAAAGGGCTGTGAATGTCACATCAAGTTAAGGAGCTTCCCCGTGATACTAAGGATCAGGAGTTTTAAGGGAGGGGGTGCCTGGTCACTCTGTGATGGATCCAGAGGCTGGACATGAGGGGGAGAAACAGGAGGTAGGAAGACCGCTTAGAAAGTTGGGTCCAACATCCAGGATGTGAGGTCCTAACCCAAGGCAGATGCCATGGGGACAGAGAGGAGGGCACAAGTGTGCAAGACCAGTGATATGTCTGGTTTTACTTATCCTTGTAGCGTAAGTGTCTGGCCTACAGAATAAAATCCCACTCCTCACAACAGCTGAGAAGATGTACATGCCTCAACCCCTGACTGCCTTCCACTTCATCTTCTTTTGCACTTCCCACGCTCGCTCCACCCCAACCGCATGGTCTCCCATCCCTTCCTTGTAAACACCAACCTCCTTCCCACATGAGGGCCCTTGCACTTGCTGTTCCCTCTACCTGAAATACTTTTCCTATGGCAGATGCTTGTTCATAGTTTGGATCTCAGCTCAAATATCACCCTGCCCTTCACTACCTTGTCTGGTAGCCCACAGTTCTCCCCTCTTTATTCCTGAACACAGACTTGTTATTATTGTTTTGTAATTTCCTTCCCAACACTTCACCTTTTCCAGAACATTCTTGACTGTGTATTTGCTTTCTTGTTGATTGTCTACCTGGCTCCTGACCACCTCCAATGGAATGGAAGTTTTCAGAGCTTGGACTTTATTGATTTCACTTTGGTGACCAGTGTTGGGAACAGGGAAAGCGCTCAATAGATAATCACTTAATAAAGGAATTAAGCACATGCCTGGTAAATCTGTTTTTTAAAATGGTAAAAGAAATTGCAGATGCTGGTGCAGTGTGTGAGCAGGGGAACGGGAGAAGGGAGGAGCCTATAGGTGGGGCAATGTACTATGAATGTTTTCCTTGTGGGTTGGGTGGTGACTGAAAGAGAAACCCTTCGTGTTTTGATTGGTCAGGGCGCTTTGGCTGGGAAGGAGGGAGACAAAATGTCCTAAGGGGAGGAGTGGGTGAGTGGGCCTTGGGCACGCTGCCTGTTGCCCAGAGTGGGGCCATGGCTCCAAGAGTGTGTCCAGCCCCGGGAGGCAGCCGGGCCTGCCTGCGGGACTCACCTGGTGGTGCAGCAGGCCGGTGGAGTCTCGGAACCCCTTGGGGCAGGCGGAACAGCGGTAGGGCCGCTCGCCTGTGTGCGAGCGCAGGTGGTTGGCCAGGTTGAAGCTGTGCTTGAAGCCCTTGCCGCAGCGCGGACACGCGTGGGGCTTGAGTGCAGTGTGCCGAGCGAAGTGGCGCCGCAGGTCCGAGCGATAGCGGAAGCTCTTGCCACACTCACTGCAGTGAAACGGGACGCGAGGGGCGGCGGCGGGTGGTGCCGGCGCCGGGGCAGGGACCGGGGGCGCTGGCAGCGGGGCATCATCCATTGTGGCGTAGCACGAGGGCAGTGGTGGGTGGGGGCTTTCTGGAGCGAGGTGGAGGAGACATGGAGGGCAGGTGAGGGGGTCATTTCCCCATCAGCCCTCCCCCATCAGGCTCCTGGGACTCACAGACCCACCACCTGCCCCGCCAGGAGCCCAAACCACTGCACGCAAGCCACTCCCACCAGGACCATACCCACAGTTTAAGCTCCTCCCACCCTCCTAGAAACCCTTCTCCCAGTCATCTGCCAATCTCCTCAATCACTCCAAGTCGCTTCTACCTCACTGAGTGTTTTTACCCCTGAGAACAGACTCTTGCTCCTCTAAGCCCCGCCCAGTGTGGTTAAACCCAGCCCAATCCTTTCACGGTCCCTTCACACAGTTCTCAGAGCCTCTAGTGTTCCTTGAAAAGCTCTTTCCCACTTCCCTCTAAGCTCCTGCCACCCTTCTTTGAAGATGAAAGCCCTGGAACCTCAGATAAAACTAACTAAAACATGTTTTACCAGCAAAATACGGGTAATACGAGGACCTACCTCGTGGAGTGGTGGTGAGGACTAAGCAAAATTGTGGCCATGCGGGTTGCCTGCTTACTTAGGTCTGAGCACAGCAAAGACTCAGCAGATAAACTTTTTATTACAACTGTCCTGTAAGTACCTCCGAGTGTCCTCTTTAAATTCCACCCTTCTCTACTAAGATCCACCTCCAAAACCCCACTCAATTTTTCCTTAAATTCATCCTTGAAGTAAGCCCCGTCCTTTCCAAGACACCCTCCACCACCCCTTCTCACTTTCTCAGTCCTTCTGAGTTCCGCCCCAGGCCCTCTACATCATTTCACTTGCATTATGAAGACTTGATATTTCCACTAATAATCCTCCAAATTATATGCCTAAACTTCACCTCCTCATTGTACTTTCTCTAAGCCACACCCCTTAAGAAAGCCCACCTCTAAGCTTCTGCCACCTTCACACTGAGCCTCAGCTTCCTCACTCTGCCCCAGTTAGGACCCTTCAACCTAGGGCCCGGCTACCTTTCTCAGTAAGCCACGCCCCTTTACTAAACCCACCCTTTGCCTAAGTTCCTCCTATTTCCATCCACAGTCCTGCTGCCCCGCCCATTTCTACTCTAAGCCACACCCACAGAGGCTCCTCCCAGTCATTGCTCCTCCCTAGCTGCTACTAAGTCCCGCCTCCTCCCCACCCAGTCGCCCTCGGGGCCAACTCGCCCCCCCCCACCCCCGCCAGTCCGCTAGAGGACCCAGGCCCCGAGAGCCAGCCTTTTGTGCCCCTCCCCCCGTCCCTAAAAGGTGCGGCCCCGGGCGCCCGGGGCGGGGGCAGGTCAGGCGGGACCCGCGGGCAGGCGAGTCCACCTCGCTCGAACGGCGCAGGGGTTCTGGAGCCCTGGGGCGGCCCCGGGAGGCCGGGAAAGTCAGTCGGCTTTCCTCTTTAATTACTTACACCTCCCTCTGGGCGCCGACATTTTGGGCAGCGGGGCAAGCGTCACTTCCACCCGGGGGGCCCCTCGACTTCCGCCTCGGCTCCCTTCTCCCCCGCACGCCCCCTTTCTCCCGCCTTCTTGACCTCCTCCCTCCCAGCCGCCCGCCCTTCTCCCTCTTTCTCGTCCCTTTTCCAGCACTGATAGTTAAAGAAGCCAGGTCGGCGCCATCTTGGGTGAGGGCAGGAAGAGGGGCGGGGCTTGAGGGAAGCGACCCGGCGCCATGCAGACTAAGGGCAACAAGCTTAGTGCGCGGCTCCTCCCCGCCGTGTCGACGCTAACAGGTGATAGCGCAGATTCGGGCCGACTTGAGTTCCTTTTCGCAGCTCCTGCTGGGTAGGATGTAGAGTTGCATCAGGAGAAGAGAAATCGAAATTCCGATGCGATAGATAGGCAAGAACAGGCTCCATCTTGTCCTCAGTCCTCCAGCGGTCTTTGAAGCTTACCAGGCGCCATGTTAATTACGGGAAGGAGCAGCCATTTTCCCGCTCCTCATCCTTTCGGTAGCTGTCTTTGATTGGGTCACCGGCTGGGTATTTTGTGGAAGGAAAGACATTTCTACGTTGTTGGGGATGTGTTGGATTATTTACCGCTCGAGAGCGCCGGGTGCGCAGGCACGAATGTGACCCGCCTTGAGGACCCAGCGCGTCCCTTTGTTCCCCGAGGGCGCGGGCCCGACGGGGAGGGGGCGGGGCTGCCGGCGTCCGCTCCGAGGGGCGGGGCCGTCCCCCGCGCGCGCGCGCGCCGCCGAGGGGCAG